TCTAAGATGCTCGAATGACCAGTAAGACAAAAATACAAATAAGGATAACAAGTGGTCACCTTGCACTTACAAGGTCAGAAAAAGTCTGCAAAGCTGAAGCTGGTGAAACATGGGGACACATATACTTCTGGCAGGACAGAGATGGGGACAGCTTGTAGGCAGATTTTTATGTCCCATCTGCCAGTTCCCATGTGAAGATCTGTCACTTAAATTGGTTTAATAAAAAGCTAGACGGGAAGTATAGGTGGGACAGCCGGACACAGAGGAGGCTGGGAAGAAGGAGGGCAGAGTGAGAGGAGCTGCTAGGAGATACAGAGGGAGCAAGTCATGCTGCAGGACAACCACAAGCCATACAGCAAAGCATAGATAAGAAATATGGGTTAATTTAAAATGTAAGAGTTAGCTAGTAACAAGCCTGAGCTATTGGCCAAGCAATTATAATTAACATTAAGTCTCCACATCAGTTATTTGGGAGCTGGTGGATGGGAAAGAAACATCCAACTACAACAGCTATTGTAGAAATGAGTATGGGATCATTTACTCAACCTCAGTCCATGAAAGCTCATCTGCAATCGTGTCCTTCTAAGTTCACATCCCACAGAAAGGTTACACAGCTTTCTAAGCAGACACATAGGAGAAGGAGTTCACTGCTGTAACTACTGCAGTGTTGGGGAGTAGGTCAACAACCTGAGCGCTTACCTGTTACACAGATAACAGGCAACTGTGGCACATGAAGCAGGAGCACACACACCAACAGCACCCAGGGAAAAGAAAAGCCACAGCACTAAAGTTCAAATACATAAATCAAATACCTCCACCTTGCAAGATCCTACTCAAGCAAAACGCACAGTGAAATTGAAGAGAGCACCTGGGAGGTGCTGGAGCAATGGCTCAAAGCAGCTGTTTAGAGCATTGGCTGCTCTTCAGGACCTGAGTTTAATTCCTAGCACCCATATGGTGGGTCACCACCATCTTTAACTCCAGTTCCATGGGATCTGGCATCAGGCATGCATGCGGTACACATGCAAGCAGAACACTCACTTATATAAAATAAATAAATCTCAACAACAGGGGAGTGGGATAACAGAACTGAACACAAAAGAAATCTTTTAGATTGTGATAAAACAGCTGAAATGGGGCTGGGCATGGTGGTGCACACCTTTAATCCCCACACTGCAGAGGAGAGGCAAGCGGATCTCTGTGGGTTCAAGGCTATCTACAGATGGAGTGCCAGGACAGCCTGGGCTACACAGAGAGACCCTGCCTCAAAAACAACAGCAACTAAACTCAAATGGACAAAAATTAGGGCTGTTTCCTTCTCGAAAGTTCCAGATTTCCCTGACAAAGATGCTCTGGCTGCCAGATCTGCGGGTGAGTGGCAGTTTTTGATCCCGGTTCAGGCAGAAAGGGAACTTAGAGACTGGAAAGTTTGAAAGTGAGAAGATTTAAAGGAACTTTTTTTTTTTTTTTTTTTTTTTTTTTTTTTGAGACAGGATTTAACTCATAGCCCTGGCCAGCTCAGGTCATCTGAAGCTTTTATGTTAAGAATCTCATCCTCCTCCTCGCTCTCCTTGCCTCCCTGAAGAAGTATTCCACGTGACCCGAAATCTTAAAATTCTTGAGCAAGAGGGGACCCAATTATTCTGCAGATGAGGAAATGAAAGCCCAGAGAAGAATTCTGATTTAGGGCCACACAACCTTCTCTCTCTCAACATCTACTCTCAACCTCTTCAAATGGCAGAGAAAACCCCATAAAGGCTTCCCCTTCCTCGGGGTGGAAGCCAGATCTTTTATAATGGCTATACTGAGGTGCCCTTCCCAACTCCCACCACCTCTTAATCTGCCTCTTCCCACGCCTCCCAGCCTGGCTTCTGTGACCTTGTCAGCCTTCCCACCTACCCAGCAGGCTCCCTCTCCAGTGTCTGGCTGGGACTTGCTCGGCCTCCACCTCCTACTCTCTCAGTCAAGTCAGAGATCAAGCAACCTCTCAGGAGAGGCTCCCATCGCTCTGCAGAAAAAGTAAAAGCCCCCCAGCCCCCCTCCCTGTGTTTTCTATCTACATTGCTTAGAATTGCCCATGTATTCTGAGGACAGCTAAGCTTGCTTATGTCTCTCAGGGGCTGTACCTCACCAGGCCTTTGCCCACTTTCCTCAAACTTCCTCCCTGACTCATAGAAGTGCTCCAAAAATACTTGCTGAATGAATGAATGAATGAATGAATGAATGAACGAACCACTCAGGGTCAGAGCACAACCCTCGGACTCACACTCTGCACAACACCTTATTGTACTCTCAGTTCTTAGTAGCCACCTATCTTCGGGCTGCAGAAAAGACGTGCACACCCAAAATGAAATACCTCATTTTAGCTACTCCGCCTACTTTCTTCCTTGTGGCTGCTTTTTATTTTTTTTTTTTTTTTTTTTTTAAGACAAGGTCTCACTATGTAGCCTTGGCGGGCCTGAAGCTCACTACATAGAGGGTGGCCGTGAGCTCACAGCGATCCACCTGAGGATTAAATCGTGAGCCACCACACACCGCACCAGGCAGCATGGCTTTCTGTTAGACACCAAGGATTAACTGCCTACACAAAAGTTAGGACCCGGTGAATATAATAGTTCTTTCATGGCAGAGGGTGCGGGGGTCTGGCTATGGCTAGGACTTTCCATCTCTCTGCTCTCCAGGCCACAGGCTACCTCATAATGAGCTCCCGACGGCAAGACTGAGTTAGCCAGTCTTGAAATTATTTTATTCAGATGCTTTCACAGCCGGATATAATAGGAAACCATTCCATATTCATGGGTGTAGAGCTTTTGAGAAATATTCTAAATTAATTTTAAAAACACTTTAACAAGAAAATATGCTTGAGAATTTCATAGATGATCCTGTAATGGTGACAAGTTATAGGTGACATTAACTGACTTGTATTCTGTCCCAAAAGACAGAATAATAAGCCTGGAAACATAAGCCAAATTTTGTATCTGCCAATAGGTAGCAAGCCTCTTCTTGTACTCTTTGAATCATTCTTTAAAATCCGCCCCCAAATTTAAGACTAAACAATCTGTAGCTTAAAATATTCCTTTTGCGTTTATTTCAGCCCAGTACAGATCAAAGTGACCCAGAGGGCTGGGAACGGCGATGAATTTGAAGCACAGGAATGCACCATACAGAAAGGGCTTCCTTCTAAGGCAGAAGAAGGGGTTCTGCTCTGAGACATCCCTTAGGACAATCTGCACACGTGGCCATTAAATATCCAAATGTAGTCTGCTCAGCCCCTTGGCAGGAGCGGCGCTGTCCATGTTAACGATGACCTAAAAGCTTGCATTAGCTTTCAGATCCTAAATGGTATCTCGGGATCCAGGACTTCCCGTCCTGTAGGAGAGAGCAAGTGGTGCAAGCTCAACGGGCACTCTGGGGGAGCCCTGCCCTGCCCTGCGTGCGAAGGAGGAATGTGAAGAGGGGTCTCTGCAAGCAAAGGGGGTGCTCAGAGAACAGGGTCAGAAAAGAGCGGGTGAGTGGGAAGAAAAGGTCGGGAGGCCTGCTTGGTGGATTAAAAGACCAATAACTCATACATATTTGAACAGCATCTATAAAGACTCCTATCAGATGTCAGCCAAAAACACGCACGATGTGACTACGGCACAAAAGTTATCAGTTTTAGTCAGAATGTTCTCAACTGATTGAAAAAAGCACCTGTGACAACATGTACCCCCCCCCACTCCCACGCCAGACTTGGCGGTTCTGCACTACACACCAAGTTCTCAGTTCTAGACACTAACACAGAAGCATGAGCAATGTGTGTGTGTGTGTGTGTGTGTGTGTGTGTGTGTGTGTGTGTGTGTGTTGGGGGCAGGTTTCGCTTATTTCAGCCCAATACTCATTATGTAAGTGGGAGAGTTAGGAGTAATAATGAAATTGAAGATCTACTATAAAGTATTATAGAATTAATCCCCCCAATAGAATAATAGAATTAACCTCCCTCCCAGCTGTACTTGTTGTCACCAGGAACGGGTCTATTTCAAGTTAACAAAGACTTTAGCCGTGGAAGAGGGCCTGAGAGATCACGTCGTTTAGAAGACGGAGTCCTGATGGATACACTAACTTGCACATTACAGCCTGGCGCTGCTTTTGCTTCGACTTTGTATCAGTGCAGTGCTAACTGAGAAATCAGGTCGGTGCGTCACAAAATTCGACTGTGGGTTAATCAGTTCTACCTGCACTGTGGCGCTTGACTAAGTAAAGTGGAGTCTGAACTATGCTTCCGACCCGTGCATCAGTGTCGTAGTCGCTTGTCACACACCACACCATTACTAATCAGGAAGTTCCACGAGGTGCTCTGGTGACTGTAAAGGATTACTGTAAGACAGACCTAAAGGCAGGTTATAGAACAACGACAGCGCAGAAACGTTCTCTCTCCATACGACGACGCTTTTCAGGTTGGTTTTACATTCAACCCTGCGCCCCCAACACTCTTCAGGTTCTTAATACACATCAGACACCGGCCTGTTTGGTCATCCCAATATCCCTTTATTCGACTGACAGACAGCACCACCCTCCTCTGACACACGGATGCCTGGCAGTAGTGCAGGAGCCCTGGGTACCTAAAAACTCCACTAAACCAAAGCTGCATCTCCAGCTAAATAGTCCTCTAGGCTTGCTTGGGAAACCATCCCTTCCTGCCTGTCACGCAATCCCGGCCTCGCATGCCCACCGGCAACAGCAGCGACAAGGGACAGAACTGGAGCTGAGTCCTTCAGCTCCAGCCAAGAGGCAGCGGAGGCTCAGTGACAGCGTCTCGACTGGACTCCTCGGCCCCGCGCCCGGGCCCGGAACGGCCTCTAGGGCTGCGGGAGCTCCCGGCACCCTGCAGCCGTGCGTGAGGACAGCGAGGGCCCGTGGCGTCCCAGCCTCACGTCGCCAAGCGCAGCGCAACCCGGAGCAGCTCTGCCAGCCCCGCAGGCGACCGTCTCCGCCACCCAGCCAGCGCCCGGCCCAGCACCGACCTGCTCTCCACGCCCGGCGTTCCCTCCGCGCGCGGCCAGTGGTGGCCCGGGCGGGCCGCGGTCACCTCCCCTCGGTGGCGGCGGCGGGCGGGCCGATCCGGGTGACTCCGCGCCGCCCCGCCTCCCTCCGTGCCGCTTCCGCCCCGTGGCCCCCAGCTCCGCTTCCCGCGCTCGCGCCCCCTGGCGGCCGCCCAGCCTGCAGCCCCGCCACGTCAGGGCCCGGGCTCCCAGGCCTCTCCTGGGAAACTGAGGCACCGGGGGTGCGTTGCTCGGGCTATGATCCACCTCCCAACCCCCACCCCACGCACCCGCACCACCTCCAACCTAGAAAACTCAAATTCTCCGCTGCGCGATGAGCTTACTCCGAGGGGAAGCCTGGCCTCGAACCTTTGGTCATCCTCCACTCCCCAAGTGCGGGATTGCAGAGGGTGCACCACCAGGTCTCTCCCCTCTTCCCATCTATTTTTTCCTCTCTAGAGCAAAGTCTCTCAGAACAATTTTGAGAATTTAAAAGCAAGGAATCACAGACTACAGGAACCAGACACCCCATTTTCTCAGACTCCACGAAAGATTTCTGCTTGTAAAAGATCGCAAGTGCTTGGAGGTGCTGCTGCGATTGCCGGGCTTCACTTCCCGGTTAAGGGATCTAGCTACCTAGTAGATCTGAAGAATGCAGGCATCTTCTATCACTATGCACACATAGCTAAGATAAGCCTTTATTTCAAAATTCTTGTTAGCTATAGTTACTGGATTCCTCTACTCTTAAAAGATCATAGTAAACTAGACAGCATAAAGTGTATCGTTTGGATCGTTTTAAAGCGCACAGCTCATCAGCTGTAGGTACAATCCATCACTGTCCTCCTGTCCATCACCTTTTTAATTTCCCCAAACTGAAACTGCTCTCACTATAGAGGGACTCCCCCTCCCTAGCCCCAGCAACCCCTCTTCTCTGTATCCTCAAGGATTCCTCCACCCGGGACACCCTCATAAACAGAAGCCACAATACCTGTCCTTTTAGCGTCTGGCTTATTTCAGATAGAGAAAGGCCCTTCGTTTCACCTGTCAGGATTTCTTTCCTTTTTACTGATGAATATATCTCACCGTCTAAATATACTATGTTTTGTTAATGCACTTGTCCCCTGGGCATTTCCGTGGGGTTTTCCTTTTGTTATTGTGCCTAAGGCTATGACCCAAAGTGCACACATATCTACTGAAGTTACTGCATCCAGTTCTCTGGATCGTTTGTCTAGAAACTGCTGGGTCACCTGTATTATTCTCCTCCTTTGCCATCTGAACACCGAGGGAAGAAATTTTTGTAGTAAAGCATAAATATTCCAGATTTTTATTTTTAAAAAATTAGCAAATGCTTCAGTTGCCTGTGAAACAATGAGCTTGCCTCCTCCTTTTCAAGTAACACAGAAAATCTATTACCTAGAGAGATAATAACCGTTATTCTTTTTGTTTTTAAAACAGGGTCTCTATTTTGTGGCTCTGGCTGTCCTAGAATTTGCTATGTAGACCATGCTGGCCACAAACTCCCATAAATTCACCTGTCTCTGCCTCTGCTGAGCGCTGGAGTTAAAAGTGTGCTCCATTATGCCTGGCTGATAAAAGTTGTTATTACTAACTAACCACAACTGTGTTTTCTGTGTATACACTTTTCTAATGTGGCTTAGAGCCAAGCATTCCTTATGAAAGCCAGATGAACTAAAAGCCAAGATTCCATTTTGAAATTAAAACAACATTGGAATGTTTTGACTCAGCTCTATCTAAACTTTTCTCTTTTTAACATTTATTTATTTACTGGGGTAGGAGACACTTGAGGCAGGGGTTTCACTAGGAGGTCGGAAGACAACTTCTGGGAGTCAACGCTCTCCTACCACGTGGCCATAAGGCTTGACAGCGTCTTTCCCTCTGAGTCATCTCTCCCGTCCCTAATCGAAACATGCTCCTTTCTCCTAAGGATCAGGTCCTGAAGAACCAGGCTATTGCCTCTCAGAGACGGTTCTTTGGTTGGTGCACTGAAGTTTGCTATGCAACACCAAGGTCTAAACCGTGACTGGTGTAACACTTTTCTGAGGCCGGCGAGTACAAGAATGGTTTAGAGACCCGAGACTCCCATTTAGTCAGGGGCTCCACATCCCCTTGTAAGAGTGCACACCTGCTCCCATCTCCAACCATAGCATACATTTCCAGACCTGGAACTGGTAACACTCAAATAGTTTCTGTTCAAGTATATTCCCAACATATCCACATATAAAGAAGAAAAAATGGGGAGGGGAGCTGATGTGGCCTGAGCTGGTTTTATATATGTTTTCAGTAAGGCGAAGCCGTGTCCCCCCTTTTAGAGAGAATCTCCTACTCACTAACTGTGCTATGAAGAATTGGCTGTGTGTGTGATGCGATCCAGGAAGAGACAGACATGCACAGTAAGAAAACGAATATATGACCTAAGCTATCAGTCAAAAGAGAACCACCCAAAATACACCCCTTGTTGACCAACCCCTCCTTCCTGTAGGCCATGTGGAGAGTCAGCTGCTGCCTGGAGCCCTTCAACACTCTCTCCTGGGCCCCCCTGACACTCTTGGCAGGGGATCTCTCCCTAATCTGTACTCTTACTTGGCTCTGAATAAAGTTATTTTGCTTCTTTTGCAAATCTGTGCGATCCCTTGTTTTCAAGCCTTTGGGTAAGAGGCCAAGAACATTGAAACACCCAGTCCACAGTAACTTTTCCTCTCATCATGGGAAACTCACTGCACTTTTGACACAGAACAGGGCTGTGTTGGGCGTTTGGGATTCAGTCTGCCCAACAGACAACAGGCTCCCTGCCATTCTGGAAGTCATATTCCGCAGTGATGTGACAGGAAATAAATTATTTACCAGATCAGCATGGAGTGGAGAGGACCGTAAAGAAAACAAGCCAGGGGACACAACAGATTAATGGTGAAGGATTAACCCCTGCCTGGGCACCCGTTGTATCTAAGAATTAACTTCTCTCAGCTACAGCAGGGTTGGCAGTTGTCACAGCAGTTCTTGAATGAATGGGAAAGGCAGTTACTCAATATAACTTTTTGGTGCTCAGATGAGGAATCTAGCTAAAACCAAGGGTGAGGGGTTTCTTTGACCGTAAAGGTGATGGGGAAGTCTCTGCGAATGTGTCATTTTCTGAGACCAAAATGAGGAAGAATCAGCCCTGCACAGAGCTAAGGCAGCGCCTTTCAGGTAGAAGAAGCTGCAAAGTTCTGAAGCCAAGAGCAGCTTGGCAAATTTCAGAACCACAAGCAGGTCTGGTGTGAGCAAGCAACTAGAGGATCATGAGCTGAGACTAGAAAACACACAGGCCAGCGAGATGGCTCAGCGGGTAAAGGTGCTAGCTGCCACCAAGTCTGAGGAAAAACTCAACTCTGGGAAAGTTGCCTTCTGACCCTTACATATGCACAGGAACACTAAGTAAGTAAATAAAAACAATAGAAAGTAAACAGGAGTGAGAGTCATCCTGAGTCTAGCAGGCTGTGACAGACTGAGTTCTATAATCAGTATCCTCAGTTGAGAGGACTGGAGTAAACTAATCCTAAGAGAACTATGTAGGACCAGGGATATAGCTCGGCTCTTCCAATGGTTGACAGTACACCTGAGGCCTTGGGTTCAAGCCCAGCACCACATACTGGCCAAGGTGGCACATACCTGTCATCTCAGTACTTGGGAGGTGGAGGCAGGAAGATCAGAAGTTCAAGATCACCTTTGGCTACATAATGAGTTCAAAGCCAGCCTAGAGTACACGGCACCCTCCTGAAAGGTGGGGGATAGATAGAGAGGGTTGTGATGGGGTTGTCTTGTAAGACGTAAGGTCAAAAAAATGTAACATTAAAACTTACAAACAGAGAGTGGAAAGATGGCACACTTGGTACGAGCACTGATTGCTCTTCCAGAGGACCTGGGTTTGAGTCCCAGTCGCCACATGGCAGCCCACAATCATCTGTAAAATCAGGCATGCTCAAATCAGGCATGTACATGGAGCACAGACACACATCCAGGCAAAACACCCATACACATAAAATAAAAACTAATAAATCTTTAAAAATTTGTATAAATATATGCTTCCTTCTGCCGCCAGTAATTTTCAATAAGCCAAAACACAGAATGTTTGTCAGCTTTGGTGACCCCTGCCTGTCAGGATGCTCTGGGTCTGAATTTTCACTGTCCTCACTGCTGAAGAGCAGCTACTCAATGGCTTGGCCCCACAGCAAAGCCTTTTCTTGCATGAACCGGGTCATAGCCATAAGCTGATTAGAGGAGCAGGCTGCTGAAGCTGCCTCTCACAGGGTACCAGGCAGGTGTTAATCCGGAGCAGCTAAACAGCCATTCTAAGTCCTGTTCCTAAGAGATGCTCCAGAGCTTAGTGGTGTTCTACAGAGACAGTGGAAGAGGAGCCCCCCACCCCGGGGAGGATGGAGATGAGAAGGGAACGCAGTGCTCCCTCAGAGGGTGGAGGAGTCTAGGGTGGTTTTGACACAGCCACTTCTGTTTGGAGGACTTGGGTAAGAACAGGGCCAGCTCATAGCAGTGATTGCCAACCTGTGGGTCATGATCCCATCGGCAAACCTCCATCTCAAAAAAATATTAGTCTTACCATTCATAACAGTAGCAAAATTACAGTTAGGAAGTACCAACGAAAACAAGTTTATGGTCGGGGTCACCACAGCGTGAGGAACTGTACTACAGGGTCGCAGCTTAGCAAGGCTGAGAAGCCCTGGTGCAGAGAAACATAACAAGCCCCACTCGGGGGCCTAGAGTGATGCCAGTTCCTACCGTGTTCTCAAAAAAAAGCTCCCTGCAAGAAAGCTTTTAAGTTGTGAGGAACAAAACAAAACTGTACCCACTTTCTTTTAGGGCCTCCTGGTGCTATGCAGAAGGCCTGTTGTTCTTCTCATCTGCCTGTGGTAGCTTCAACTGCCTTCAGATTTCATCACAGGAAAAAGAAAAACCAAGCCAGGCATGGTGGCACATGCATATAATCCCAGCACTTGGAGGGCGGAGGCAGGTGGGATCTCTGTGAGTCTGAGACCAGCTTGGTCAAGATGGATCACTCCAGGCAGCCTTGGCTAC